TACCATCTTCAGTGCTGGATGGGGTTGCACTGCCCCAGACAGACCCATTTGCAATCTGGGGATCCTCCTAGATTCATGACTCCTGCTTGAGGAGCAGGTGGCAGTCACATAGCTAGGAGGGTCTTTGCACAGCTTCATGTCGTGTGCCAGTTGCACCATTCCTAGATGGGGGGGGGGCTCTGCTCACAATCACTTATGCTCTCTACATGGGGCTGCCCTTGAGGAGTATCTGGAAACATCAATCAGTACAGAATGCAGCGGCATGGGCAGTTGCATGCCTCTAGAACAGCATGTCACACCTCTGCTCTGCGAGCTGCATTGGTTGCCAGTTTGCTTCTGGATCCAGTTCAAGGTGCTGGTTTTAACCTCTGAAGCCCTTCATGGCATGTGTGATGGAATGTGAAGGTGACCTTGGAAGACAAGGGGAAGAGATGCTGCTTATAGAACAATCAGTTAAAAGAGAAAGGAGTCCACAACACAGTAACAGCCCGGGAAAGAAACTTAAGGAGGACCTGCCATAACTACTCAGGCAGTAAATAGGGAGGGCGAGAGATTTGTACTTTGAGACTTGTAAAGTTCTGTTAATGTAGTCTTACAATAACGTTGAATTAGCTTGTCTAGTCATGGTTTCCTGCATGGGTCTGGGTTAGCTGAGGGACCATCTCTCCCCAATTACATCTGCCTGTCCTGTTAGATCTGGCAGAGAGGGCATGCTTCCGGTCTCATCTGCTAGGGACTTACATTTGGTGGGTTCCAGGAAGTGGGCCTTCTCTGCCATGGCACCCACCTTATAGAACATTCCCCCCTCCCCCACTACAAGAGTGAGGTTAGCTCCATCCCTGTTAATATTCTGTAAGTCTCTCAAGACTTGGCTATGTCATCAAGCCTGGGTTCCCAGGGGACCAGGGGTATTCTAAGACGGCTCCATCATTGTGCTTAATTTACTCTCTCCTGTACCTGGTGGTTTGTATTTTAATAATGACTGTTTTATATTTTTAATGATTGTTTTTTATATATTTATTGGTTTAGTTAATTGTTATATGCTGCCCAGAGTCACTTCTTGTGAGATGAGCGGCCATATAAATTTGATAGATAGATAGATAGATAGATAGATAGATAGATAGATAGATAGCTAGATAGATAGATAGATAGATAGATAGATAGATAGATAGATAGCTAGATAGATAGATAGATAGATAGATGTCCACTTGGTATTCCATTTGTGGGGTTTGT